TCGGGAGGGCATTCCATAGTCTGGGGGCAGCTGCCGAAAAGGCCCCTTGTCTACAAGCCGTCCCTCTTACCTCCTTGAGGGACTGCTCTTTCAAAAGAGCCCCGGGCTAGATCTTAACTGCCGGACAGGTTCATATGGAAGGAGTAATAAGTAAGAAAATATTAGTTATTTTTCAGCAATTTGGGCCTCATGATGTTCCCTTATGTCTACTATGGGACAAATTTACCACATTTTGAACCCTACCCCACAATTTTAGTTTTTTTGTTTTTAATGGTTGCTAGGGAGGACAAAGCAAAGGATTAGGGTTAGGGATAAATTAATAGTAATTGTAAGGGAAAAAATGGAGGAGCAGCTTTCCTAGACTGCCTATTCCTGCTCTAGAGAAATGAAAAAATACAATTGCAGACTGCTGCCTTAAGATAATTAGTTTCATAACCTATTCAAATAATCAGAGATAAATATAATGTATTTATTGTGACAGCACTGATGCACAGTATAGATGAACAGGAGCTAGCCGGTTTGAACACTCTCCCCATGTCAAAGGCTTACTTGCAAAAAACCAGGAATCCATGGAGATGCTAGCTTTTCATGTGCAAGTCAATTTGGGTCATGAGGGGTTTTTTTAATAGCAAAAGACCATTCCTCATATGTCTGAAGTGAAAAAGTTTGGGGGAAAAATCAAACCAAGTTGACATAACAGGCAGCTAGGTTTTCTCAAGGTTTGTGTTGTTAAAAAACAACAAACTCGTGCTTGTCAACGTTTACTCACCAAGGCAATGTGAACAGTAAATTCCACTCCAATTCCAACAGAAGCGATCAGGATGACAACAGGTACTGCACTCAGTTTTATTCCAATCAGACCCATCATGCCAAAGAGTTCTACTGTCATCAGAGCCAGCACCATGACCTTAAAAGAATTCAAGAAGATCTTAGTAAAGGACAACTACTACTTTTAATAAATTAATTTTATATGAGTGAATAAAGTATTCCTTTAATTCTTATGTGGCCACAGAGTTAGAATTAAGTATTTAAACCCTTTAGAAACCTCAGTTCTTCTGAAGCCACGTGATAATCAATGTATCAATTTTTTAACTTACAATTTGGGTATACAGTGGTGCCTCGCTTAATGAGCGCACCGTTTAACGACGAATCCGCACAGCGACGTGTTTTTTGCGATCACTAATGCAATCACATTGCGACGTTTTGAATGGCAAAACATTGCATTGCGGTGATCGGTAGGTGTTTCACTTACCGATCTTCGCATTGCAATGTTCTAAAAACAGCTGATTGGCGGTTCCAAAATGGCCGCCGGAAGAAAAAAATGGCCGCCCACTCCGTTTTTGTGCCCTGCCCTCGCTTATCGGGCGGTGAAAATGGCGGCCGGGTGGGGGAATCTTCGCATAGCGGTGAGTTTTCGCCCCATAGGAATGCATTAAATGGAGTTTAATGCGTTCCTATGGGTTTTTCCCCCGCAACGAATCCGATTAGTGATGTTAATGCTGTTACGGATTAACGTCGCTATGCGGGCCACCATTCTGCAGTCTGAGCAAATCTTTTTCTCTACTGACCCTTTCTTTCTATCATTCCACTTTCAACTTACATTGCTGAAGTCTAGTAATTAACCCAAATAAAGATGCATGATTTACGCCCTCCCTTTGATATAATTATAGCAGTGGTTCCTGACCCTGAGTAACCCAGATGTTCTTGGACTGCTACTCCGAGAAACCACCGGCAACACATCTAGTGGTGAAGGCTTCTGGAAGTCGCAGTTCAAGAACATGTGGGTTAATCAAGGTTAGGAACCACTGAATTATAGAAGTTCAAGAACATGTGGGTTACTCAAGGTTAGGAACCACTGAATTATAGTACAAGTGAAGATGACAGCTCAGCAAACAATGACTGCATAATCAGCTGATGAATATTAAGTCACAAAGGCCCTTTTAGCTTTGAAAAAGTTGGAGAGATTGGCATGGGCAAAGCCAACAGCCATAATCAAGGCAAGTTGTTTTTTATGTTGCTTCCTTCTTCTGTCTTGTAGAAATAAAATAAAGACAGAGGAAGAGACATGACAATACAGGCATTAAGATGGAGAGAAATGCAAAAAAAGGGGGGGGGGTCTGAAGAGTCTGTTGAAAAAAAATCCCTTGTAAGCAAAGTTCACCCCCTGCAGGCACGACAATAAATTATTTTATAAGCTAATGACTCACGAATGATAACATTCACAGCCTGTGTCTTCTGAAAGCTATTCTAGACTAAACATTTACCTTTTAACATACCTGCTGTACAAGTCTATAGGACCACAGACTGGTAATTGCTTTCTACCTCTCCCGTTTTAAAAGTTATAGAGGAGTTAATAAAAGCTAGACAGAATAACATCAACATTCTATTTGACAAGAATGCCTGTGCACTGAAAGATGTCCAGTGCCTCCCAGAAAATTGTAAAAAACTAGTCTATACAATTTATATCCACCGTTTTATTTCTCCTTCATCCTACAGTCTTATGCTGAACTCTTCACCCCTGTCCAATCTAAAGTTTCAGTACATCCAGACTGAGTCTTTTTTTAAAAAAAACACTGGTAGTCTCATGAGGATGTAGCACAGGACACATCAGCAACCTGGGGTCAGATCTGCTGTAGACGTCCACAGGACCAATCATATGCAGAAGCCCTGACATCTTATAAAGCTGTGTTGCGTCCATGGCTCAGCAGAGAAAGCAGTCACACAGAAGGCCTTAGGAGCATTTTGGAGACATCTTTGGGGGAGCATCTCTTTGGGGACTATCTCTCATTTATAACTTAGGGTTTCTGGAAACCATGAGGCTCACTTGCAAAATAACTTGTACACAACTGAATTCTGATTCTTAAGCCATTTATGTGAAGCCAATCAGACTCATGTGCCAGATAAAAAGCACAGCTTGGGTGTGGCAATTAATCTTTTGGACCCCCTATCCCTGTTGACTAGATTTTGGCAATTGTAACCAAAAAAAGAACTCCTCCAAACTCTGAAAAAGTGGTAAGCTACTTTCCAGAACACAACAATGAACTGTTTGTGAGCAGCTTCAAACAATCATAAACAGAAAAACACACACCATTTTTTGTACATAATTCTGTCTTTATACAGAAGACATTTCAGGATTCTCTTTATTTTTCTTCTAGCCATTAGAATGAGGGCAAAAGTTTAGACAGCTTTATTGTTATTTTTAAACTTCACAACCAACAGAATACACCAAAGGTTTAAGATTATTAAGGCTTATACCTTTACCATGAACCCTACCCTCTCAAGTTGAATAAATATATCATGAATGATGCAATGTGCATACTCCATCAGTAGCCCAGACATAAACAAAACCTTCCTGACTGTAGCAAGAGCTATGCTGAAAGGAATTTAACTTCAACAAAGACTTACAATGATTCCAGCTGTCCAGGGGTTCAGCAGGAAGAGGGCACACACTAGAAATGTGCAGGCCAGAACCACACTAATAGACAAGAGGAGCCAATGACGCAGCCCAATGTACTGTTCCCAAAAGAGGAATGGATATCCATTTGGGTAACTGGGAATCCCAAGGCTAGTGTAGTTATTGCAGATGGCTCTCACTTTCTCAATAGCTTCCACAAAGTCAGAAGTATCACGCAATCCATTGAGGTAGAAAGGAAACTGAGCATATTCTATAGGTTCAGCTTCTGGAACTGGGAAGAAAATACCAGTCATATTAATTAAACAACTACATTTTGAGAAATATGTATTTAAATATATGCTGAAGCAGGAAAAAAATCACTCCAGATTTTTCCCCAGACCAGAACATCAAAGCTTGTATTAATTTGCTTCCAAGGATACAACTCAGATATACCAATGGGCTACAACATGAACAAGATACTGCATTTTTAAGAGTGCCATGCATACAGATGTCATACAAGCAAGTCTTCTCACTATTGTGACACCCTGCTATACATTTAGAGTTATAGAGACACTCCAAAGGACACACTTAGTGGAAAATACCAAAGTTCTTAAAGCCACTGCTCTTTGGTGGCTGGAATACCTTTCTTGTCACAGGGCATGTTTTTATATGCCTGTAAATACATGCTGTTAAGAACAATGGGAAGAACAATTATATTAGTCTGATGCAGTAAAAATGTAGAGGCTTGTGGTATTCCAAAGACTAATATCTTTGTTATATCACTAATTTTTGGGCAGTGCACAAACGCTGATGGCACAGAAGGCCTGGTCTTCCCATTAGGCAAAGTGACAGATACCAGGGACATGGAGTTTTTATTATATGTCCTGCACGGTATTTTCTTGGATAACCTGCTTTACCTAGATGTAATGCATCTTCTTTGCATCTTCTTTTTACGTATGAACTAAGCTACTAGTCTGTTTAGCTTCCATTATGTGGAACTGAATGATGGGGAAAGATATTTTATTCTTTGTCTCAGGCAGCAAGATGAACTGGGTCAAGCCTCTGCTATGATAAATCTGTTTTTGAGATTCTACATGATTATCTGTCACCATTGATTACCTCTGACCTCAAGTTATGATGAGATAAAATCATGGTGCGCCCCTAAGATTAATTACATTTTGGGAATATCTGTACAACTGGATGTATTAACTGATATTTGCTAATAGGGATGCATATAAACTCGTAAAGAGCAACAACAAATCAGTATTTGAAAACTGAAATGGTTCAAAAATTTAGATTACAGAATGGCAGGATCTCAGGCATGTTTGCACCGCTGTGCTATAAACACCTGCTATAAGGTCAATACATTCTAAACTACTGCACTGCTGACAGCATTAGCATTCCAACAGTATAAAATAAAGCAGTAAGTCAGGACCAGCAAATGAAATCAGTAGAAGACTTTGAAAGATAAAGCTGGCCAGAACATTTCTTTCATTTTCAGTAGTTACTGAAAACAAGCTTTCCAGCATGTTCCAGTCAATCAAAGAAAGATTAAACACTTCAGACGGTTGATTCAATAAATAAATAATTTTTATCTTTTAATACCATTGTGCAGTTATCTTCTCCATCTCGCGCCCCTGCAAGCAAGGCTAAGTGCACAATGCAGTCAACTCCCTCCTCTCCTACTCCCTGCAAAAGGCTTTTGACTACTAGCCGTCAGTTCCTGCCTCAGTCGCTGCTACCAACTCTTGTGGGTTCCAGACTCTGCAGTCATTCAGTTGACTTGCTAAACATGATTTGCCCTATTATAATCTCAACTATAAATTTTCATTAAGACAAAACTTGGCTGACTGCCCAAGAGGTTTAGGACTCAGATACAGCAAAGCACAATTTGCTTATTATCCAGTTGCATTTCCAAGAACACCAGTTTCTCTTCTTCCCTCACTCCTACCACCCAATAACCAGCTAGCAGTCCACCCAATAAATCCAGTCTAAAGGCAAATAAAATCAAATTGGTATTGCCATTTGGAATGCAAGCCACTGACTTGAGGAAGGAAAGAAGACACTCCTGTATAAAGATCTCTTTTCCACTTAAATGACTTAGGAACCAGTGCAGGTGTTAGAGAATGACCTAATTAGCCAGAAATTCTTTGCTTGCTAGGCTGACAGATTTAGAATAAACATGATATAATTCCCAATGATAAAAAGCCCTGCATTTGCAAAGGCAGCCTATCATGGGAAATGAAAGTTTCCCTTACACATAAAATAAATGTGCCATGTTAAAATGAAATGCCTAATGCAAGTTGTAGACCTCTGAGATAAACTATTAAAGAATTCATTTTTCAAAATGATGAACTGCCACTGAGGCATGGCATTCTTCTATTACATTACACAACTACATCTGTCTCCTGAGTTTTTACAAAGTAACACAATATATTGTTCTGTTTATGGTCTCAGTCCTGTACAGTCTCAATTAACTGGACAGTTGCTGTGCCTTGAGGGAAGGGTTGAGGCACTTATATAAACCACAAGACATTCAAATGAGATGTTCCTTACTGGTTACTGGCATATAGTCTGCCTTGTCATGGACCCATTCTGGACGGTGGGGACGGATGTTGGCTTGAGAGGCAGCATAAGCCACAGGGTCATTGCTAACCCAGGCTGTCAGGTAGATGTAAAAAGCCTTTGGGTTAATGATTCCATTTGCATCCACCAGACGCTGTTTGGCCAACTGCAAAATAGAAAGAAACATTTCAGAGTGAAAATTGACTTTTAGGGCTCTCATTCATGCCAACTTAGAGCAGAAAAGCTAGAAACAAACAAAGTACAACACACAGTGTGTAAAACAGCATCAACACTTTTTTGGATAAAGTTCATACTTAGCACGAATGCCAGAGAAAGTCTATTGTTGACAATATGGAAAAAAACCCCAACACTTTAAATCTAAAATTTCAAGCTGTTTTCTGTAGCATAAAATGCACTGGACAAAATTCATTAGAAACACTCAGCTAGGAGAAGGTTCTGGATGAACACTGTTTTTTACAAATCTTACAGAGAAAGAAAGAAAGAAAGGAAGGAAGAAAGGAAGAAAGAAGTCTGCAGCTGAGAGGGGAAAATGACCACATTGGAGAAACATAGTTAAAGGTGTTTGAGGGAGAGAGAAAAGGAAAAAAAAAAGAATCCTGCAAGACGTCTGTGTGCAGTTAACCTCTGTTGTTAACACTGAAGGAAATGCCACCCAGTAAATGGAGGAGAGCTATAAAAATAAAACAACATCTGTATAAATTTTGCTAACACTTGCCTCCTATGACCTATGTATTCAGAAAATGCCAAGCACCAAAAACCAGATGAGTGCACTCTTGTGGAGGTCACATGAGCAAATGAATTTGGGGAGTATGAATCAAGGTAGTCCAGGATTCCGGAACAAAAGCTGCCTTGCCAAACTAATGGGTCAATATTTGAAAGGTACCTTAAAGAGTAAACAAACAGCAACAACTTTTGTTTACTTCTCATTCAACCCTGACTCATTTTTGGGTCTGATTATGTGAAAAACAACAGTAACAACAGTCTTTTTTTTTTAAGCTGGAATCTGGAGGTCTGGATTCAATTAATCCACAGGATATGCAACAACTGTATGTCTTCAAATTGTCTTTGGCAACGCAGAGCACAGCTCACAGGCCCCGTGGGTGAAGCAGCACACTTTTGTTCCTCCCAGGCAGACAAAATTATATCAGGATTCATAGGCTAGCCATATTTACTCCATGCTACAAAGGGCACTNATTATATATGTAAGTTAAACCAAATGAAATTGCACTTCTAACTCTAGTTTTTTCTCATAATTCTACCTTCTCCTTTTGAAAGATTTTCTTGATGAAGAATATTAATACTGAATCGTTGCATAAGCAGATGTCGGGTGATTTCCAAGGCTAACTATGTCTTTTGTCAAAGTATCCTAAATCAAGGATGGGTGTGGACCTCTTAATGTTGTCAAACTATAGTACAATTATGGTAAGGTTTGATGGGAATTGTAGTCCAGCAACTTTTGGGGGAGCATATGCTCCCATCTGTACTCCAAATCTTGATTTTCAGTGTAGCTGCATGCACACAAAAGGCAAGGGAAGACAACAGACAGCTCCTCAGAGGATTACTATCTGAAACTGAACAAACTAATTTATCATGAAGAGGTGGAATTAGGAATAAGACATTTCCTGCAGAGTTCTAGAAGTCTCATTTATGGGTCCCTTGCAATACAGACAGAAGAATTTGTTACTGACAGATATGGATGTAGGTCTCTACTTTCTCTGACTAAAGAATTATGGAAATTGTAGCTCAACATATTTTGCGGTCGCCATTCAGGCAAGGCTGTCATAAGCACTCACATGATAGCTCATAGTTAGAAACAAATAAAAAGGTCTACTCAGAAGAAAGTCCCTTTGATTTCATTATGGCTTCAGGCTATACTACATATGACATAGTGGTAGCCTTGAATTTCAAGTTAGGAAGGGAACACAAGCTGGTCCCTATGCTGACTACTGTCAGCACATCAATGAACAAAACTAGCAAAACAGCACAAATGCCAAAGAAGCTCTTAGAGCAAAGTTTACCGATAGCAGACATGTATTCTTTTGGGTATATTCTGTTCTACTTTCTATTTCTACATTATACAGGAAGCTGCTGTATACAGTATAAGTTCTCTTTAAGGATAACTGCTAGCCCTCCCAAGGTGGCAATGTCAAATAATAAAAACAGATCTGCAAACAGAACTATAAGCCATGATTTAACAGATGAGGTTCATAGTCTTGGGAACATTATTCTAAACAGTTTAGTCTATTGAGATGTTTACCAGTACATCTGCAAATAAAAGTAATCATATAACCAAATAAAAGGGAAGATAATCTCTACCAAGCATATCCATGTGTTGATTTCTCACAGTATGGTATGCTCAGGGATGCCGGAGGCTGTTCCAGACAAGATGGTAAGAATTTTAAAAGGAGACACTCCTCTCCCTTTATAGCTAAATAAAAGGTGTATACAATTGTAGTTTGGTCTGAAGGGTCACTGATATCAGAGGAAATTTCTTCTGAGTAGAATTTTTGTTTATTTCAACAGTCAGTTGTCTTGAAAATACTTATGCCAGTCTTCCCCAACTTGGTGCTCTCCAAATGTGTTGGACTCCATTCTGCTGAGTGATATTTTGAAGACTTATAGCTGAATTCGAATTATCACAAAACAAACTACAGCAAAATGCAAGACTAGATGTGCTGCCTACACTGGTGTAAAAAATCCATTTATCTGATGAAATTGTAGCTAGTACAGAACTGAAAAGACATATCCTCTGGAACTATATATAGTTACTTTGCCTATATATATTTTACTTTGTTTTTAGCTCTGATGTAGAGAGACAAAACAGCTTTGGAGGAGTTTGAAACATTGCCTGCCTTTACACAGTGGTGCCTGATCTGGAACTGGTCTGTATTTTTACATGCAAGAAAAAAAAAGGGGTTCCTGGAATGTTGTGCACTAGATGGCATCTAGTCTAAACATAAAATAATTTCTTAAGGGTTGGTCAGAGTCCTGCCTACATCCTCTCTCATACAAGTGTTTCCAAAATGTCTGAATGTTTTCTTTGTAAGCCTTAATTCTGAAACCACAGTTAGAGGTTGGCTTGCAAGCTGTCATTTAAGTTAACTGTCTTATGATCAATGTAAAACATGTAACAGTAATATTAGTTAACTCCAATATGAAAAGAGCCAGTACACTCAAGAATAGAGGAATGCACAATGATTTGCTCTTGAACACCATTTTTCTTATACTGGGACTTAACTAATCGCAAGTGAGTTGGGGTAAGTCACAAATCTGCCCACCATTAAATGTTTAGAAGTGAAGCCAGTAGCAAACAGAAATCACTGAAATTCAATGAAAATTGTAATCCCACCACACTGTCCAAACAAGTCCTCAGGGCAGCTTTCCAAATCTGACTGCAAGAATGGCTAGAAACAATATGATAATTAGAGGTGTGCATAGTTTTATTTCTTAGAATTGCCTAGGCAGCATGGTACCTGGCAAATCGGTAGAGTCACAGTCCAAAAACACATGTATGCACACCTCTCTAAAGATACCGTAGCTAAATCTCAATAATCAAATTTCTCAATTACAGTGGACCCTTGACTTACAGACAGCTTGACTTACAGACTTTTTGAGTTACAGACTTCTCTGGCCCGCAAAATTTAGGTTTGACTTGCAGCCTGAGATTTGACTTACAGACCAGAAAAAAAACAAAATGGAACAAAAACAGCCTGTTACGGGATTAATCGGTTTTCAATGCACTGTAGGTCAATGGAGACTTGACTTACAGACTTTTTGACTTGAGAACCGCCTTCCAATACGGATTAAGTTCTCAAGTCAAGACCCCACTGTAGTAAGTTAACAAAAGAGCACAGAACAGAAACTATAGCAATGGTATATTAAAATTAAAATCTACCTAAAATGCCTTTCAAAATAAAAAAATGAAGAAAATCAACCCAATATGCAACACATAGCTTGCCATTACCCTCTCAACCTCAACCAAGAGAGGACTATAATGTGGAATCCAACACAAGATTTAAATGCATACTGAAGTCTAAGAACGTGCACTCCCTTAGGTAATCTTACTGTAGAATTTTGGGGGCTTTAAAAAGATAAAAACAACATTTCAAACTCTATTCAAAAACAAATGGAAAGTTAAGGCCACTGTTTGTTATACTGGAAGAATATGGTCCCATTAGTCCATTTCCCCACTTAATTAGATAGCTGCCACATCTAATAAGTTAACAAAGAGCATACAGCAAAAGCTGCATATAGCTGCATTCTGAACTAACATTTATTTCTGAATTGTTTTCAAAGGTAAATCGGCATACAATGCAATCCATTCTTGAAGTTTCCTCTCTACAAAATGCTTTTGTTAGAGAATCAGCCTAAGTTGAGTTTCAAAACAAAAACTCTCCAAGCAATTCTTGCGAATCCAGGACCATCTCCTTCAGATCCTGAACTGATCTTTTAAGGAGGCTGTGTCTCCAGCATACTGATTACACTTCTGTTAAGATCTTTAGGAAACCACACCCTACATTTTTGGGGGTAGATTTTAAAGAGTGTGTGAATCATGACTGAATGCCAAAGAACTGTATAAGAGAAGCCCATCATGGCATAGCAGCAATCCTACAGTGCTTTCTGGGTTCTTCCTAGTATGAAATTGTGTATCCAACTCTTAACCAAGCCAAGCAGTCCAGAAAATACTACAGCACTGAAAGTAGCTAAGCAGAAGATGACAAGATCAATTACCTCTCTCTGTTTTGTTCACTAGGAGGACTATAAAAGTTTGATCTAGTCTGTTGCTATCAACCATTTGCCAAGAAAGGGGATATTGGAAACTGGCCAGTAACTACTCAGATTCAGAGGATCCACAGATGGTTTCTTCAAAACAGATTGCACAACTGTCTGCTTTAAGAGGGCACAAATAACCTTTTTCCCTTGCTCAGAAAAAGGCACTGTTCCCTCCTTACTAGCCAGCTAGATATAGCCAGCTAAGAAGGGCATGGTTCAGGTAGCCCAGTAATTTCCAAGGATTCCATCCAAGTTCTACACATGAAATCAGCTGGGACTCATCCAAAGCTCTGTAACCTCTGTAGAGGGAGTGGCCACATACTTAGGCCTGTATTTTTAATGTTGCATTTGCATACTTTGATGTAGATATAGATGCTAGTGGTTTTAGCTGCAAAGTGCCTAGAAAACATAACACAGCCGGCTAGTGCAGATTAAAATTGTTCAGACTAGTGGGCAGGTTATAATAAGACTTAGAAAACATTTTACAAATGGAATTGGGCAGGAAAGTTGGATTTTTTCTTGCATCATGTAGTACAGTATATACTTCAAGCGTATAATTTTCCTTGTGCATTAAGTCATCTAGAGTTTTCTGCAATCACTGCTCAAGCTCCCATCCCTTCTACCTCACCAGACACAACTTCCCAGAGTACCAAAGATATGCACAGACTGTAACATGAGGCACCTCAGAGCTATTCTGCAGCCACCCAAGTTAACCTTTTGCTTAATTGTCCAATTTAAGCAAACCTTTAATAGTAAATAAATAAGAAAATTAAAGAAGAACAAGAAAAACTGCTGATTTGTTTTGTTTCACTTCAAACAATACGACTATAGTATATTTTTCTAGAGTACAGTACCTGGCTTATATTAATGGGTTTGTCTCGGTTGCCTGAAATTGTCTGAACCAGAAGTTTGTAAGCCAGAACTGCATCTTCAGATCCATTTTTATAACTGTTCAGTGTGATCTTCCCAGATTTCCAGTCACTGTCAAAAGCTTCCTGAAGTCCTGTTGGAAAGTAAGGGTGCAGGTTAAAACAGAGGCTTTCGCCCAGATTGTAAATACATAGTGAAAAACCAGATAAACGCAAAACTATCAATGAAAAGATTGCAGGATTTAGCAGTTTTTAATCCCGAGAAACTGATGACAAGTATGTGCAACATCAACATCACTTCCCTAGAGATTGTTTGGAATTGTAGTAGTGTCCACTCCTCCCTCCTCCCTTTAGCCCTGGAACAAGCAGAGCCTGGATGGAATAATGTCACCTGCCTCCCAAGCAGATGTTTGGGAGGGTGCCACAGGTCTGAAACACTGGCCTCCCAGAACTTTGGAGTTGTATAGCTTGTCTTTCCCATTTTCTTGCTAGTCTGTGGAAGTCTGCCAGGCTGGAGTTCCAGACAGACCTCCTGCTGCCGCAAAACTGCCCCAGTCGTCCCTCACTTATTTAGCTGAACTCCATCACATGTGAAAACATTCTGACATCATAACATTACTGCGTGTGTGGCTGAACACATGGCTTGCATCGCGGGGAGGGGGATAGAGGAATTCCACATATGTGTTGTATTTCAAAAGGCTGATATAGGCTTATATTCAAACGTGAATGTTTACATACTGAGAAACCCCTCCTCCCTAATACATAGACAACTAAGCCTGAACTGGCTCTTTGGTAAAGAAGTTTTCCAATATATAAAACAGTCAAATGCACCGTGGTTTGTAACAGACATCAGGTAAGTAGGATGAGGGAGTGTATCTTGTATATGTGGCTCTAATGAGGAAAAGGAGGACACATGTAGGAAGCAACTTTCTGTTCTACTTTCCCTCCAAAAAGCATAGATGGAACTGATGTGCAAAAAGTAATTCTAGACAAATAATTTATTCCTCTGTTCCCCAAGAGCAAGGAAATGTCTTATGACTTATAACATTGTTATACTGGATTGTGACATTACTGTATGTCCGGGGCTAAAAGTTGAGTGCATTTTTTAAAAATCAAAGGAAAAAGAAGAAGATACTATGGAAGAGTCAGCCAATAAATCTCAATTGAGTGCTCAGCACAAGCACACAAATCCCAAATCACATTTCAGCAGCATTATCCCAAGATGTTCAAAATACAGTTGTCTAGTTTTAACCGCATAAAAAAGAGAGGTTACCTATCTGTAACCATGGTTCTTTGAGTGGTCCTCTGTGAATCCACACTAATAGGTTGTTCTGCGCCTGCGCAGGACGTCTCAGAATTTTCTAGAGCTTAAAAACACGTGATTAGTTCCCTGTGGATTGCATGCTCTGCCCACCCAAGGTCCTCTCAATTCCCAAAGTGTGCCGCTGTCAAAAAGGTTAGATAAAGATAACGGAGTCACAGACAGAGGGGAGAATGGGCGGGATGTGTGGATTCACAGAGGACCACTCAAAGAGCCATGGTTACAGGTAGGTAACCTCTCTTTCTTCATTGTGGCCTCTGTGAATGCACACAAATGGGTGACTAGCAAGCTCACTTACCAGTTGGTGGGCCGTCTCTGAAGAAAGGATGTCAATATAGCTCTCCCAAACCAGGCATCATTCTCTGCTCGAACATCCAGTGTCTAGTGTGAGATGAAGGTGGATGGATTGGACCATGTTGCTGCCTGACAGATGCTGGAAATGTCCATGCCGCACTGAAATGCAGTGGATGTAGCCATAGCTCTTGTGGAGTGGGCCTTAATGGTGTCGGGAAGCTCTTTCCCTGCAACCAGGGAGATGGCTTGAACTATCCATCGAGACAAGGTCTGCGATGATGCTGGAGAGCCTTTACGAGATCCATGAAAACAAATGAAGAACCAAGGAGATGCCCTGAATGTTTTTGTTCTGTCTATGTAGAATGCAAGAGCGTGACGAATGTCTAAAGTGTGGAGCATGCGCTCAAGATCAGAAGTCGGTGAAGGAAAGAGACATGATAGGTTGATTCAAATGAGAATCGGATACTAGCTTAGGGACGAATGAGAGATCTGGATAAAGTATGACTTTGTTGGGATGGAATTGTATGTATGGAAAGTCAGATCTGAGAGCAGAAAGCTCACTCGCTCAACGAGCTGAGGTGATGGCTACCAGGAGAGAGTCTTCAATGAAAGAACTCTGAAGTTAGTGGAAGCCATGGGTTCAAATTGTGGTTTGATGAGAGCATTCAGAACAGTTTGGAGAGACCACTAAGGAAGTGGAGGTCACTATGAAGGGTGAATATTGTGAAGTCCTTTTAAAAATCTTTATGAGAGAAATGTTTTGCTGATTCCGCATCTGGTGGTTGATTGCAGCGATATAAACTCTGAGAGTGGCTTGAGAGAGTCCCAGGTTGAAAAGGTGTAAAAGAATCAAGCAATGTATCTAGAGAAGTTGGGGAGGCTGAAAGATTTTTAGAGGCAGCATAGGTAGTGAAAGACTTCCATTTATAATTATAAAGAAGTTGTGTGGATGGCTTCCTAGCTTTGCGTTGTTTGCTGTTGCAAAGACATTGATGAGTGGTTCTCCCCAATCGGGGCAAATTTGAGTGAAGATGGAGTCGTTGAGTGTCCATTCGTGATCTGATACTGTGAGACGACTGAACTAAAATGTTGTCCTCTGTGGCACTGTGAACCGCGATTGGAAATACATGGTGGAGGTAGCACCATTCCCAAAGACGAACTGCCAGAAACAGGAGTGAAAAGGAGTGTGTACTGCCTTGCTTGTTCACATAGTACATAGCTGTTGTCCGTTGCAAGTTGGACAGCTCAACCTGAGATCAAACGTTGAAAGGCTCTGAAGGCTTTGATAATTGCTAAGAGTTCTTGCTGGCTAATGTGTAATGATTGTTCTTTCTTTGACCACAGGGCATGTATTCTGTGGTCTTGGCAGAGTACTCCCCACACTAGAGGACTGGCATCAGTAGTAACCTGGATAGTGAGCTGGAGAGGTGCGAAAGGTCGGCCGATGAGGAGGTTTGAGACAAAGGTCCACCAGATAAGTTGTTGGGCAAGCTCTGGAGTTACCCTGAGATGTTTTGACGGATGGTCTATGAGTGGGTTGAAAAGAGAGAGGTACCATGATTGAAGAGATTGCATTTTGAGTCTGGAGTGTTGAATCACAGAAGTAGTGGAGGCCATGAGACCTAGTAGATGTTGAGCCTGGTGTGCAGAAACCAAAGCGTGGCATTAGAAGTGTCGAACTGCTAACTTAACTTTTTTAGTCATTCTGGAGGAAGGAAGGCTCGGGCTTTGGTGGAATCGAGATAGGCACCAATGTATTTGGCTGTTTGTGAAGGCTTGAGATGAGACTTGGAGAAGCTGTCTTTGAGACTGAGGCGCTGTAAGGTATTGAGAGTTATATGAGTAGCGTCGATAGCAGGTTGGTAAGAGTGGGAGACGATGAGCCAGTCGTCGATATAAGGGAATATGGTAATTCCCTGTAGAGGAAGATATGCTGCAACTGGTGCTAGGTATTTCGTAAAAGTTCTCGGTGTCATGGATAAACCAAATGGGAGTGAACAGAATTGGTATGCAATACTGTTGAAATGGAAACAAAGGTATTTGTGATGTTCTGGATGAATGGAAATATAGAAGTAGGCATCCTCGAGGTCGATGAGAACAAACCAGTCTCCCTGTGAAAGGAGGGGAATAACAGTGTCCAATGTGATCATTCAAAATTGTTTGGGTTGGATGAATTTCTTTAGATGTCTAAATCAAGAATAGGACGGAGTTCTCCGTCTTTCTTGGGTACTGTAAAATAACATGAGTAGAAACCGTTATGAAGGTCCTTTGTTGGGACAGGAATGATAGCATGTTTGTGTAAAAGAAGGGAAACTCCTTCTTCCAGGGCTGAGGAGTAGGAGGTATATTTAATTTGATCAAGAGGAAGTATATGGTGGTAAGGTAAAGGTTCTCCTTGACATTTAGTCCAGTCATGTCCGACTTTAGGGCGTGGTGCTCACCCCCGTTTCCAAGTCATAGAGCCAGCATTTGTCCGAAGACTGTTTCCATGGTCATGTGGCCAATGCGACTAGACACAGAAAGCCGTTACCTTCCCACCGAGGTGGTACCTATTTATCTACTCGCATTTACATGCTTTCAAACTGCTAGGTTGGTAGGAGCTGGAACAAGTGACGGGAGCTCACTCCGTCGCGTGGATTTGATCTTACAGCTGCTGGTCTTCTGACCCTGCAGCACAGAGGCTTCTGCGGTTTAACCCGCAGCAGCAGCGCCACGTCCCTTTTATATGGTGGAATTCTATAGAATAGCCATGTTTGATTATAGATAGGACCCAATGGTCATTAGTGATAAGAATCCAACATTGGAGAAAAGGGTATAGATGAGTTTGGGTAAATGTTGGATGTGTAAAAGCCAAATTTAGAAAGCCAAATTCACTGCCTGAATGGCGTTGGAGAAGCCATAAAAGGCGGGAAGGGAAGGGGAAAGGTGGGGAGGAGGGATAGGTTGGGGAGTGAAGGAATGAACAAAAAGGGATAAAACTCAACGGGTAAAAGAAAAATAACTCACAGGAGAACGTTGATTGAAAACAGAAAGGTAGATGAGAAAAAAGGTAAGGTACAGAGTACCGATTTGAAAGAAGTTGCTCTAACGGTCCGATATAGGTCTAACCTACACGGCGGCTAAAAGGAACTGAAAGGACCTTGGTTGAGCGGAGCATGCGCTCCACAGGGGAACGTTCTACTAATCACGTGTTTTTAAGCAGGTGCAGAACAACCCATTTGTGTGCATTCACAGAGGCCACAACGAAGAAAAGGTCTTCTGTTCATCCCTATTGTCCATGCACCACAAATTCTCTTGTTTAGGCACCACTGAAATTAACAGAGTTCAGCAAAAAGTGAACCTGGTAGATGGTGCACACTGTCTATAATCACAGAACCTGGGAGAAATGGAAACATTTGTTCAAAATAAAGTGTTAGTCACTCACAGTTCTAAAATGAATTATACAATATAAAGGAGGAGACACCCAGCTATCTTGTTATTTCAGCTACTGCTAGGTGCCAAAGCCATAGGTTATATGACAACATGACCAGAAATTCCACCGCAAAGCGAGGAAAAAGAAACCCACACTCCTGACTCTCAAACTTCAAACAGTAACTCAGCTCCTTCTTAAGCACAGCGTGAGTGAACACGATTTTGTCAATTTGTTCCATCTGTTCAACTTGTGTAGCTAATACAAGTTGTGGGATCTGCTGCCAGCACGTGTAAAGATCACAGCCAACACCTATTCACTCTCAACTGTTATTTTCCTCTTTGCCACTTCTTTTCAAGGAGGAATGGGAGGGAGGGAGGGCAAAAAAATACCTCACAGCACAAATTTGGATCCGATTTAGAACAGGAAGCCGCAGCCCAACACAAGGAGGCTGTGTGAGAACAGATGAATGAACCACATGT